TTTTTTTTTTTTTTTTTTTTTTTTTGTTGAAAATAAATATTTGATGAGAAAATTGTTGGCAATATTTTCTATTTTAATTTTTTATTAGTTTTAAACTTAATTTTTAATACCTTATTGTTGTAGTTGTTTTTTTGATTCTCTAGAATGCATGGTGTACTTTTTATTTGGGCTAAAATTGGATCTAGGCAAAACCAATAAAGAAAAGAGTAACCCGAGTCAAATCGAACCGAACCGAACAAATAAGGAGAGCAAATCATGGAACAAATAAGAAGATAAGACATGTGGTTGGCCTCGACAAGAGGTTGTGACTGACCCTATGAACAACCTCACGGAAGAGGTCAAGGTTGACCTTCAAGCGAGCATGTGCCACTATCACATTAGTGTATATATTTCTTTTGTTTTGTAGGCCTTGTTCTTCCTCCCTTTCTCAAACAAATTTTACCGTTGTTGTCACATGAAGATCAGATGCGTTGCATTCTTCAAATTTTGGTAACAATAGTTGAAGTCATTTCCACATTCAACAAAATGAGCAAGAATATGGAAAAGCAAAACTAAATGAAGAAGGAGACGATGAACATTAAACACCAGAATTTAAGTGGAACCAATCGGTTAAGGAAACCAGCTCCTATTGAGGATTGTTGGGAGGGTTGATCATGGATTTAGGTTTATAAGAAAGGAATATATCTTCATTGGTACGAGGCATTTTGGGGAAACCAAAAGCAAAGTCATGAGAGCTTAAGTTTAAACTGAACAATATCATAGCATTATAGAGGTATGTGATTCCTAAAAGTTCCTATTGACTGAGGCCGAGGCCGATCAACACTTATTAACTGAGGTTGAGATCGACCGGTGCTCATTGGATTAGGCCAACTAGACCGTGCAAGCTACACTAATAAGAAGGAATTCATATATCGACTAAAAATGCAAAAACTTAACCTCAAGAATCAGCACAAACTACCAATAAAAAAGCATGACCACTGTTTTCTTGAAGATAAAGTTCCATTTGAATTGAACCCTTCCTCATCATAGAATGGCTAGGCTAAATCAAGACTCAATAACTTACTTCTAACAAAAGCTCTGATTTCTTTCGAAGTAAAAGTACGTGTATTACCTTCGAATGAGTAAGCGTCGGTAAACATAGAGTACTCTGCCAGAAAAGAGAACGAGTATCAACGAGTCAATTCCATATAAAAACCTGCAAATGCTTGAAACAAATAAAGCTTCTATCCATAGAACATCATCTCATCTAGACCTTTTGCTCTATTACCCTTCTTCAAGCAGAAACTTAACCTCAAGAATCAGCAAAAATAGCCCATAAAAAAGCATAAACACTGTTTTCTTGAAGATAAAAGTTCCATTCGAATTGGCCCTTTCTTATCGTAGAAGGGCAATGTGAAATCTCACATCAGTTGGAGAGTAAAACAAAGTATTCCTTATAAAATGTGGAAACCTCTCCTAGCATGCGCGTTTTAAAACCGTGAGACTGATAACGATATATAACGATTCAAAGTGGACAATATCTACTAGCAGTGGAATTGTGTTGTTACATCTAGGGCTAAATCAGGACTTGGGCTGTAACAGCTCGGCTAAATCACGACTTTGCTGTTACAGCCAGGCTAAATCAAGACACAGTAACTTACTTCTAACCATTGAATTCAGAAGAGCTCTGATTTCTTTCCAAGTAAAAGTATAGGCATAAATAAATAGAAGGCACCAATTTACCTTTCGAATGAGTAAGCTTCTTTCAACATCAAGTACTCTGCCAGAGAAGAGAACGAATATCATATCGACGTGTCAGTTCCATATAAAAACCTGCAAATGCTTAGAAACAAACAAAGCTTCTATCCATTGAACATCATCTCATTATAGTGTTCTAGAGCCTTTGCTCTATTACCCTTCTTCAAGTAGAACAAGGATAATGTTTGATATATAGATACACTTGGTTGTATAGACCTATCTTTCATAATCTTCAAATATTTCTCTGCTTCTTCTAGTTTCCCAGATTGACAAAAGCTCCCAATCAGTGCAAAGAAAACCGACACGCCAGGAGACAGTAATCTAGCATCCATTTCATAATATAGCTTAAGAATCTCCTGAGTTTCACCAATTTTCCCATATCCTATGATTAGATTGATGTAAGTGGTTTCATCAGGCAAGAACCCTTTATCTAATAAAGTGGTTAACATTTCATTAGCCTTTTTCACATCTCCTTCCTCACAAATCTTAGCTATTGCCACATTGAAAGATGAACAACTGGGAACAAACCCTCTTTCTAACATTTTCTCACACATTCTCAAGCTTTCTTCTGAATCTCTACACCCTTCAATGAGAAGATTGAAGGTTTCAGGATATGGCTTCAAACCCATGTTTTCCATCTCTTCCATCAAGCAATGAGCTTCTTCAATCCTTCCACCTCTACAATGTGCGCCAATGAACAATGTATAAATGAAAGAATTTGCCTGAAATCCTCTTTTAGACATTTCATCAAACACTTCCTGTGCAGATTTTATATTCCCAATTTTCAGTTTAGCATAGAGAATCAATGAATAAGCAATATCGTCAAGAATCATGTTTTTCTGCAACATTCTCTTCAACAACATTACACCATCTTCAACTCTCCCCTCCTCCAAAATCCTGTAAATCAAACAGCCATTGACAATCAAAGAAGCAGAGCAACGACTGCCATGGATTCTACTCAACATATCAGAAATTTCTTGCAATTTACCTTCCTTACACAACGAATTGATCATGATCCTAACAGTAATCACATTGGGGTAAACTCTTTTCCTAATCATTTGCTCATAAATCTTCCAAACCTTAC